TAAGAGAGTTAAAAATGAAGATGTAGGCTTGGCTGGAATCTTGGGCAATGCTTTTGACAGACAAAATTTTTGTGTATCCTGTGAACAAGAGGATTATCTTTGCCGAGATAGACTAGGACTGTGGTGTTAGAGAACAGAGAGATAATGCTTGCTTGAACTTAGAGTACTAGTGACTTGAGTAGATAACAGTTTCCTTTCCTCTTCACTTTCTACGGAAGAAAATGCCTTGTAGTATATAAGAATAAAAAAATTTAATGTTTTGAAGCAGAATTATAATAATGAAACCAATTTCTCTATTTTTTATATGTTTCCCCTTCAGGGTGTGTTTATGTTTTCCTCTGCTTTTGCGTTTATTATAGGGGACAGCCCTCCACAGCAAAACATGTAAGAGCAAAAATAGTAAATTTATACTTTTATTATTGTATTTTTTTGTTTTCAGTGATGAGTTTAATGATTTTATTTTTTGAAATTAATTTTTTAAATATTTTTAGATTAATTTTATTAGCTGATATGATTTTTTAAAATAAAAAATATTATTTTAATATTTTTTGAGTAAAAAATATTTTAAAAAGTAATTGCAATTATATTTTTAAATAGATAAATGCAAAAATAATCACAAAAATAAATATACATTTAAAAATAATAAGCTTTAAAATAAATATATATTTAAAGTTTGTTTAGTTTACTAATAATAGTTGTTTTTTTTTTAAAAAGTATTGAAATAATTATTTAAAATTTAATTTTTAATATTTCCTTATTGAAAGCAGTAAATCACAAAATGCAAATGCAACGCGTTCTCAAAGGAGTCGTAATTGGATACAAGATTCTTGTGTGCCTTGAGATTCTAATGTGCCTTTAAATTGAAGTAGACGGTTGATTTGACCTTATTGAAAGTAATAGCTATGATTCAATCAAGTCTGCAAGGTAAATAACCATCCAGGTGGTAGTCAAGTAGTAAGGAATTAGGATCAAGAGATTTACTCTCTTTATGATCTCAGGTTCGAGTCCTTGGTTGCTCATATGATGGTCACTGGAGGCTTACATGGTCATTAACTTTAGGGCCCGTGGGATTAGTAATGATACGCGCAAGCTGACCCAGATACCCACATTAATCTAAAAAAAAAAAAGTCTGCAAGGTAAACGGATCACGTGTGTTTTTTTGCCCATGTAAAGAGTAGAGTTTTTTTCTTGTATGTGAAAAAATATTTTTAAATAAAAAATATTAATTTTTAAATTAGTTTAGTAATTAATATACACAAGTATCACCTATGTGGCTAGGGATGTTGTCAAGGTGCTACCTGTACAACCAGGATCTCTTCTTTTTTTTTAATCTAGTTTCTCTGCTACCGCGAACCCTATTAGATTCAGATATAATATATATATTTTTTTTTTGTTATTGGAAGAACCTAAATATATTGAATTATTTATTTTTCTTAAAAATTTTTCAATGTTTATTCTTTTTTTAAGGCCTGCAGCTAGATCATTAGATAAAAATCCAATGTTTTTTTAAGGCCTGCAGCTAGATCATTAGCTAGATCATTAGATAAAAATCCAATAAAAAGAAAAACAAAGAATATTACTATTGTGTAAATAAAGAGTTTGAGAATAATCATTAGACAATCTTCAAGATCTTTTTTTCAGCAATCCCATTAGATATTGATTTATGGACATATAATATAACAAAAAAGTTTTGAGTTCTATTCCAGACTTTAAAATTCTTTGAAATTGAAAATTTTTTTTATCTAAAAAGATTTCTAACTTCAAATTTTCTTGATTTTCATCTAAATATAAGCCGAAACGTCTTTTGATTGGGTTTCAACTATTAGTAAAGCAGTCATACTTTCTTCACCTAAAAAAAACTTGGTTTAACTGCTTTTGACATACTATATAAAATTAATCAAAGAGATAATCCAATCCAAAATAAATAGGATTTCTTTTAGGAAAGGTATTTAGATTCAAAAAAATATGATTCAAGATAAAAAAACATGAATTTAAGATACAAGTACAAAAAAAAAAAGAAGTTTAGTAAGAAAAAAAAGGGGTATTTTCATCTATTTTTTATTTATACTTTTTTTTTAGCATATGCATGTTTTCCTTATAATTTATATATACAAAAGTTAATTTGTATATTTTTAAGAATTTAAAGGTCATGATAAAAAAAACATGAATTCAATAATTAAAAAAAAATAATATTAAAAAAATAAAAAAATTAATACATCAAAACTTCAATAATAAATCTTTTACTATCATTATAAAAGTCTCAGTAAAATAAATTTATAAACATCATGAAAATTCAACTTTAAAATTAGTAATGAAATGACAGCAAATTAACTGTCATTCCAACCATCACAAATTCCCACACCCAGAAATTGCCACTGCAAGATTGTGATAACTTGTTTGATGGACACTTGAGCTTCGCACCGTGTTTAAAAGTTGAATTGTAGTTAGTTTTTAAAGTATTTTTTATTTTAAAATATATTAAAATATTTTTTTTATTTTTAAAAATTATTTTTAATATTAATACATTAAAATATCTGAAAATTAAAAAATTAAAAACATTAAAAAAAAAAAAGTCACTTAGTTATTGTGCTGGGGCTGGGGTTAGGTGGCTCAGACTTGTACGAAGGGGGAAACCCCACCACAATAAAATTTCGTTGGAGCATTGCCTGCCATGATTGAGTGCAAATCTGTATGGTTGGTGGGGCTCCACAGGCTGTTTTAGGTATTTTCTGCTAGTGGTCCTTGTCCCGTCCCGCCCTCCTATCATTACATCTGTGGACGTTTAGCTGGGCTTCACTTGGCTGTCTGAAGGTATGATTAGCTGGGGTTCTTAAGCTCGTTGTCCAATGGACTTCAGATTCAGAAGAGACAAGAGTGAATTGCTTCTTTAGTCCCTCTATTTTGAATGAAGTTATGACTTAGTCCTTCATGTTTGGAGACCTGTAGGCTGGCCTCTTCATGAGCTTGTCTCTTGTTGGCCATTGTGTTCTTAAAAAAAATGGTTGGTTTTTCTTTGATCTCCCATTATGGTCGTTTCTCTTAAATTGTCAATGGGTGCATTTGGGATTAAGAATAAACGAAGGAGATAATAGTCAACAAAAGTAAGGGATTAATTTATAGATTTTCAAATATAGAAGGACTAAGTTATGATAACGGTCGAATGGTTCTTTTGTCTAACCGATTTAAAAATATAAAAAAATAATTTTTAAAAAACACTATTTAAAACAAAAATTCGAACAGCCTGTAAAATCCAGGATCACCAAATGTCCTTCTCTAGCAAGGGTTTCACCTCCGAACATGCAAGAAATAAGGGTGAATATTCGAAACTTATCCAGGAGGAGATGCTACTTTTAAATGTTTAGCCAATCGACTGCAGCAAAGCACTAATATTTTCTATGTGTTGGTTGAATGTTATTGGTTTGAAATGAAATACAATAATTTAAACCTATAGTTGTAAAAGAAATATTTTTGTATTACGTATAAAATTTAAGTTATTAAATAAAATTTTTATATTATTTTTTAATATATATTTTTAAATAAAAAATTTTTAGATTTAAAACTTACATAAATTCATATTATACTATGTTTTATTTTTATCAAATAAAATAGAATGGTAAAATTTAAATTTTTGATCACTTGGTTAATAAATTTTTGATACCATGTCAAAAAACCAAATAAAATAGAATGGTAAAATTTAAATTCTTGATTACTTGATTAATAAATTTTTGATACCATATCAAAAAATTATCTTAACTAAAAAATTTAAACTTAATTTTTTATCAAATAAAATAAAAATAATATGATTACTTAATTAATAAAATTCTAATATTATATCAAAACCATCTCATACTTAATTAATAAAATTCTAATATTATATTAGAACTTTGAAAACTTAAATTATAAAAAAACCTACTATTTATTTATTTTTGAGTTGAAACCAAGATAAGATGATGAAAATTTTTATTTAAAAAAAAAAGCTTAGTTTTCATTAATTCTAAAATTAAAATAAAATACTCATGTTGATATAATATGACTTGAAATTTAACAAATCAAGTTTCAAAAAAATCCAGTAAGAATAGAATTTGTATTTTTATTTCTAAAATAATATTATTTTAACTTTTTTTTAAATAATGTTACTGTGGATTAACTTGATTTTAAAGATCCACTAAACATTACATACTGTTTAATGAATTGGGGATCTGATTGATGTGATTTTTCAGTGCACATTAGCACATTAGCCACGATAGCCAGATTGGCATGCCCCCAAGCCCCCCAATTTGCTTCTTGTATTTTTCTTGACATCGAATTCGAATATTACAATAGATTCTAACAAATAGATCAATCATGCTTTCCTTTTCCATTTTAATTTTATGTTTATATAAATATTTAAATAATTTTTTTAAAATATATTAAAATAATATTTATATAACTATAAAAATATTATTTTTTTAAAAAAAATCACAAAATCAATCATGACATCAGTACGTTGCTCTGCTCTGTCAAAATATAACGCGACCATTCGGTTGAATTCCTGTTGAATCTTAAAAGTGTGTTTAATAATTGAATGATAAATACAGAGAGGTCACTCGTTATGAAAGTCCATTGGCTAAGCTATTTTTATGCAATTTTTGCGGTGGATGCAGTGCATTGTTGCTTAAAGGATCCCGGTAGCGATGGGCTGTGATTGAAGATGGAGACATCTCTAGCTTTTCGGCACTGTGACAGAGATTGTATTTTAAAAAATATTTTTTTAATCTTGAAACCAGTTTTTTTAATTAAATATATTTTTATTTCGTCTGTTTTTTTCCCCCTGTCCAGCAACGCTAATACTTACAATGATTCAATATCCTGACGTAGCATTCCATCGTTATCAATATGACTTTTAAATTTGTCACATCGAGTGAGCATGAAGCATGCATTATTGTATAATATCAAGGAAAAAATGCTCCTCTAGCTTTAATCCGGCATAATTTTAGCTATACATAATTTATTTAGCTTAATTTTTTGGCCATGATTCACTTGTATTTTAGCCCAACCCTACATGGCTTGCATGGCAGGGAGGTAATTCCCTTTTGGCTGAAAGTATCAGGTCACAATTGATGTCTCAAGGGTCCTATAAATTCCTGTGTTTATTCATTTGAATCATTACGGAATTCACATTTCTGATGTACATCTTTTATTTTCTTTGCAGAGTTGTGTTATGGAGTTCTTGGTAGGGTGTTATGCTTTCATTGTGCTTGACTTATGGTTCCTAGTGCTTATGGTATCTTGCAATCCTATATTTCTCAAGGGGAGTTCAAATACTTCAGCATTTCCAAGCAATTTTCTCTTTGGAACTGCCTCTTCTTCTTATCAGGTTTTGTTGCCTCCATTTCTCTCCTGTGCATGGGAGTATTTTGAAGTGTTTTTATATCATTCTGTTCTATTTCTCCTTTGCACAGTTTGAAGGAGCTTACTTGAGTCATGGCAAAGGCCTCAGCAACTGGGATGTTTTTACTCATAAGCCTGGTAATTACTATGTTTTAGAGCTTTAGTCCCTTCTTGCCCCCCCTTTTTTAAATTTAGATTTGATTTTGTGGAATTTGTTTCAGGTACCATCATGGATGGAACTAATGGAGATGTTGCTGTTGATCATTACCATCGATATCCGGTGCCTCATTTATCCTTTTAACTTTCAAAACAATAAATTCTGATAGATGCTAGGAAGCTTTACAGTTCTGCCCATGTTCTGCAATTATGAAATATGGAAACTTGTCTATCCATCCCTTTTACATAACAGCACAACTCTGTATCCGAAACAGAAGTAGTAAGTTTCCATGGTGGAAGGTGGAAACAACTTCTTTCATAGTTCTCACACAGTACATGAATTTGTGGAGAAATCTTATAGTCTACTAATTATGAACTATTATGGTGGGCTTAGATTGACAACAAGGCAATTTCTATGAAGATTTGAACTCATTACATATATAATCATGCTTTGGCGTGTGGCAGCTGTGTTTTGCGTGCTGACATGCTGAGTATGCAATCATTCTTCTGGTTAGCATGTCAATTTGAAAAAAAAGTGCAACATTTTGACAGCTTCCAGGGATATGACCCCCTCCATGATTTGGATGGTAATATATGATTGGACAAGAAGATTTTGGACCCCAAATGTCACTGTATGGTCTAGACCATGCTTGTTTCCTCCACACCATGGTGTGCTTCTTTGAAGTTCAGCATAAGCCACAATTTGTTCTAGTGCCGTAACTATGTGTTTCTACTTTCGAACATGACTGAAGGGTCCAGATGCCCCATGATTCTTCGCCGGTGGAAATCAAATGATGGGAGGAAACTGATCATGTTAACATAATTGTTGTGATTTGACAATTGTTTTGAGCAGATGAAAATGAACAAAATGTATCCATCATGCATGGAGATGATAATGATAAATATGTTCTGTTATGACCTGATGAAAACAGGAAGATCTGGATCTCACGGAGTATATTGGAGTCAATAGCTATCGTTTCTCCATATCATGGGCAAGAATCCTACCAAGTGAGTTTTCAGTTTCTGTAGAAGGTTTTTAATTTGATTACATTTGTTGATTTCATCTCTAATTCTCATCTTAACTTTGAACCAGAGGGAAGATTTGGAACTGCGAATAGGGCTGGAATCAATCATTATAACAAGTTCATCAACGAGCTTCTGCGTAGAGGTATATACCATTTCCACCATCTTTCATCTGGTCAAAGTACTTCCGGCAGCTGCAAAACTGTCACAATGTGATCGTAGTCTGAAAAACCAACCCAGAAAGTGAGACAAGAAAAAGATATTTATTGTCAGAATCACTTTACTTAATAAGTATTAAGATGCTCTGGTTTGTGCGAGAATGATCACCTTTTTATTCTCGTATTTACTTCTTCTGATTTCAGGTATCCAACCATTTGTGACTTTGACTCACTATGACATTCCTCAGGAACTTGAAGACAGATATGGAGCTTGGCTAAGTCCTGAAATACAGCAAGTAGCTGATTCTTTGATCTCCTTGCAGTCCTGCAATATTGTTATGCTATCTGCTTATCATTTGTTTTGCCATGGTTTGAATTCAATGTTTCAGGGAGGATTTCAAATATTATGCAGATATATGTTTCAAATCCTTTGGAGACAGAGTGAAATACTGGACCACATTCAATGAGCCCAATGTTGCAGCAAGTCGCGGTTACAGATCTGGAATTTTCCCACCATCTCGCTGCTCTGGGACATTTGGATACTGTAGCAGTGGAGATTCAGAGAGAGAGCCTTTTATTGCTGCACATAACATGATCCTATCCCATGCAGCCGCAGTCAATGTTTACAGAACTAAATATCAGGTACTTCAGTTGATCTCCTCCAACTCCTTACATCATTTCTGTCCAGGGAATATTGTCGTTGTTACATATCCGAAACTCATTAATACATGAGAAAACAAGGACCCAGAAAATAGAGGTTTTGATTTTGTAAACATCAATTAAAGTTTTATTCTTTCATTTAATGTTCAGAAAAAGCAAGGTGGAAGTATTGGAATTGTTATGAATGCCATATGGCATGAACCCATCAGTGATTCTTTGGAAGACAAACTAGCAGTCGAGAGAGCTAACGCTTTCTATATGAACTGGTAAGCATTTCTATTTCTCATTTTTTGTCAGAACAATGAAATCTCAAGTCCTGTTGATATTTTGATGGTTGTAGAACTCCCTATATACACTTTAGAGCTATATGCTATCCTAACATGTTGAGCAGGTTCTTGGACCCAATTATACTTGGGAAATATCCAACACAAATGCGTGAAATTCTAGGATCTGATTTACCTGTATTTTCAAAGTACGAACTGGAGAAGCTGAAGAGTGGAGCGGACTTTATTGGCATCAATCAATATACTGGTTTCTATGTGAAGGACTGCGCGTTTTCTACATGTGAACAAGGACCAGGAGTCTCCAAGACAGAAGGTCTCTATTTGAGGACTGCACAGAAGGATGGTTTCTTCATTGGTCAACCTGTATGTAACCTCTGCTTATCTCCATAACTATAACTTACTTGCCTTCTCCTATTCTTTGGAAGATAACTTTAGCTTCTTACTTATGCAGACCGCACTTGACTGGCTACATGTTTATCCTCAAGGAATGGAAAAATTAGTGACCTATTTTAAAGACAGATACAACAACATACCGATGTACATTACAGAAAACGGTCAGGGTCAACCGTGTTGTAAGGTTCCTAAAGACCTATGGTTTCTTCTGTCTTTCTGAGCTTCTTTGCATAATGTCATTCTTGTAGGGTATTGCGAGGAGGAAAACGTCAATGTCACAACTAAAGCTGTATTGAAAGATATTCAGAGAGTGGAGTACATGAGCAGCTATTTGGATGCCCTGGAAACGGCTGTGAGGTAGTACCATACTTGATCTGAGCCTCTAGTTGTCCTTGATATCTTGAATTGTCTCTCAGATTTGTCTTCAAAAAGAGACGCCATTTAAAACGTTAAGGTCTAACTAATGTATTTCAGGAAAGGAGCAGATGTTCGAGGGTACTTTGCATGGTCATTGCTTGACAATTTTGAGTGGACATCTGGATATACCATAAGGTTTGGGCTTTACCATGTCGATTTTTCCACTCTCAAGAGAACTCGAAAACTATCGGCAACTTGGTACAAAGATTACATTGCTCACCACAAGGTTGTCAGAACTAGCACCTGAGCATAATCAAGAATCTTAGTAGTTAGTATTTCACATCCAGGTTGAATGCTAATTGGGTTTGGCTTCACTAGATATTGCACGAAGAATTCGATGTCTCCCTGTCAAGGTTTTGTGGTGCAGTTTGTGAAAATTTGGTGATTTTTCAGAGGCATTTTCTATCTGTTTTTAATTGCTATCAAATTGTAACATTTTGCGAAAAAAGGTGTAATAATCTGATGGGTGTAATGTGAATAGTTTTGAATGGCATCCATCTTATATGTTGAAAGGAAATAAATTGATCAGGCAGTTTCTTCTGAAATTATACTTCACTGCATCCTGTTTTTAGCATGGACATCATGCTTTTCTGTGGAGTGATCAGGGATAGACAATCCTAATACCTGGATATGTGTCTTCCAACTTTAATCTCCTTTGGCCACCACAGTGATCTTACCCTCAAAAAGGGGATGCTGAAATTATATAGAACCTAAAATTCTTGCACTTGTGGGATTTGCATGAAGCTCACAGCAGATACTGTCAAAGCCGAAAAATGTTCAGCACATGAATGATTCCAAATACTTGACAGCGATGCTGGTGAGGGTGGTCCAAATTGATCAGTGTTCACATAAAAATCATTGCATTTGAATATCAAATTGGAAGTCAAAATTATCTTTTCTCCTGTCCACACAATTTTATCCTACTTTATGGGCTTAGCCTTAGCAGAAATACAGATCTTCATTGCATCAGCTGAATCTACAAGAACACTACAACCTTTTTAACTTTGTCTTGACAAAGCCTGCGAGAGGTAGTGAACTTACCTGCCATTGGAATTCTTTGAATATTCTTTTGAACTTTATTTGTATTTGAGCTGATCTTGATACCTCCCTTGATATCTTCTCATCTAGAAACCCCTAAAGAGGGCTTAGATCCCTCTCTATTTCCTTCCAACTTCCTCTTTGGGCCTGCTTCTTCTGCTTGTTAGATTTGGTTTCTTCTGCTACTCTCCTCTCCTCTTTCTGCTACGGTTTGTTTCTCAGATTCCATAGGCATGTCATTACAGATTACGGTAGAGCTTTGCCAGTAAGTTTTCCTTTTCTCTTGCATTTTTGCAGGTTGATGATAAATGTAAGATGACTGGGATGTTTATACCCGCAATTCAGGTGAGAAAAACTCACCTTTTCTGTATCTCACTGTGGTAATCTTTCATCCTAGATTGTCAGAAACATCTTCCAATAACAATACCTGCCGACTGGGAATTGATCCTTTCTGAGTTTTAAAATAAATTGGGTGAGAGTTGATTTAGTTAGACTCGATCCATCTAATAAAACAACTATTATCTTATCAACTCGGTTTGATTTAAAAACCATCACCTTAATTAATTAATTATTTATATATATAACACTTATAACAATAGAAATAACATAAATTTCTGATATAAAAAAAGGGTAGGTCCCGCAATGATGAAATCCTTTAACAAGTACATAGCATACTTACCATTTGCAAAATATAAATGAGAAAATGTAAATGCAAAATTTAAACAACAATAGAAATAATAATAAATAAGATTTGAAGAAATCATACTTCAATTTGTATTTAAAATGCATATAAAAGATATGAGTATAGAGAATTTTGTAATTGGTTTTGTTTATAAAGAATTATTTAGATAAATTTTTTTCTAGAAGAAATTTCATTTTGATGTTTTGTCTTAAACATATGAAGGGAGTCCAATTTAAGGAAAGCATCTTTGAATTTTATAAAGCAAGTATATTGTTTTTAAAAAAAGTTGATATAGTTATTTGTCTTAAAATCCAACCATCAAAAGTCTTATGTCTTTTTTTATAAATGGAGAAACAATTTTGGTTTGTAAAGGTATTGAAAGGGTTTAAAAATAAAAATTAACTAAAAAGTTTTTGATCTCTTAAAATACTTTTTTATATAACTTTAATGACATTTACATCTACATATAGAAAATGCCTATGGTTTTTATATAGAAGAAAAAATAACTATCATCTTCATTATACAAGAGGTGCTTCATAATCATAAAGTATTCTTCTTCAAATTTTGCTGCAACTAAAAGTACAAAGGCGTGAAATCTTTGAGTTAAGAATTTGGATTGAAGATTCAAGTTTTTAATCTTAACCTTTTGGTTTTGTTTAAGCCATTGTATAACTATTAGATTAGAATTTTTTGATTTTGCTATAAAAAAATTCTATCATTTGATTTTGAATTATCCCATATTTATTAGAAGATTCAAAATGAATGAATATGATAGTTATGACATTCTTTTTCCTATAAAAAAATTATATGTATTTTTTCTAAATAAATATACATTTTATTAAAAAAAATTTTAAAAAGTATTTTAAAAAACTTTTATAGCTGATTTTCATTTGTAAACCCTTTCAAGGCCTTTGCAATCCAAAATTGTTTCTCCACTTGCAGAAGAAGATTTTAAACTTTTAAAAATGGAATTTCATATGAAATAATTACATCAACTTTTCAAGAGACAATATAACTGCTTTATAAAAATTCAAAGATATCTTTCTCAAATTGCTCTATAAAAGAGGACTCCTTTCAAGCATTCAAGGCAAAACTTTTAAATAGAATTTCTCTTCTGAAAAATATTTCTCTAGATGGTTATTTGTAAACAAAACTAATTACAAGATCCTCATGTAACCATATACAAAATCCCCTTTACTTATATCTCTTATATACATTTTTAATAAAAATTTAAATAAGATTTCTTCAAATCTTATTTATTACTATTTCTATTATTGTTTAAATTTTTCATTTATATTTTTGCAAATTATAAGTATACTTTGTGCTTTTTAGAGTATCTCATTGTTAATGGATCTTTCTCTTCAGTCACATCAAAAATATTGCTATAGCATTTATTTCTATTTGTTATAGCATATAGATCTTGGATTAGGTTATGGAAAAGGTTAAGTTTAATAACTTTACAATTAAAAGGTTAAAGAGAAACATGGATATAGCTTAATTTAGTTTATTTTTGTCAAATTAGCACAATAAACATAAAATATTAGAGGAATAACACTGTAAACACTTTTGATAAAATAACACACTTTCATCTTGTTGTGCTTTAGAAGCGCAATATTTACTAAATATCGTTATTCATATGTATGAAAATTGCATTGTCACACTTTAAAATAACAATATTTAATAAATGTTACATTTTTGAAGGGTGACAAGATAAAAGTTCAATCTTCAAACTCAACTGATCGGCTAGTGGGATGTAATTATAAAAACTAGTTGATCGTTTCATAAAAAAACATAATTTTATGAGTTAAAATATATATCTTTATCCAATTTGTAGACTAAAAAAAGACTCTGAGTAGTCAGACTTATGATAATAAATGATTCTAAATAGTAAATTTTTTTACAGGAGTTTTCAAATATTGTTTCCTCTATAATAGCTAGTATTCTACTACATAGACTGTAAGACTTTTAGATATAAAAAATTTTATTGAGGGTTTTTATTTTTGACAATCTTAAGATTTTTTTTGTTATTTTTAAAATTGATTGATTGATTTTAATAATTACTATGAAGTAGCCAACTGATTGAGCTAGAAGATTAGATGTTCACCTTATTGTGTTTTAAAAGCATAATATTTACTTAAATATCATTATTCTGAAAAGCTATACCTATATTGTTGTATTTGTTATATTTAAGAATAATAATATTTAATAAATATAATTCTTCTCGGATAAAAACATGTTACTTCACTAAATATTTTGCAAAAGATGTCGTTCCGTCAGTTTTTTATGTTTATTGTGCTAATTTGTCCGCTGAACAGAGACCTTTCTTCTTTCTTTTCATGTTTCCCTCATTTTTCCTGTTTTGGTAAATGGAGGCAGAATAATTGATGGAAGCAATGGAGATGTTGCAGTGGACCAGTATCATCATGAGCTGGTACCTACCCACATGTTCGTCCTGCGTCCCAATCACTTCTTTCCCATTCAATCATTTAATGCACTCTTACCAACAACCACGGGTGGCCATTGTTTGCCTTTCTAGTCGCCTCGTTTAAAAGGTTTTCTAGCTCATGGTGAAGCCATCATCGTCTCAACTTCTACCTAATCTTATAAAGCTTAAAATGTAAAATAATAAATTATACAAGGATTAAATCTGAAAAAAAAAAAAGAGTTTAAAGCCTAAAATGAAAAGGTAGTGGCATCTTGTATTGATACAAGTTAACTCTTGAAATTTAGAACTAATAATGAAAATAATCACAATGAGCTAACTTGGTTGGACAACTTGTTTTTTTTTTTTTTTCTTGTGCTATTTTCTACCAATTAAGCTTTAATTGGCCTTGGATCAGATAAAATCTAGGATTATTCATAACTTAAGAACAAAATTAAAAGAAATTATCTTTTAATTATTTTAGTTAACCTAGTTAACCTATAAAATTGATGATTCGTGTAATATACATCACTATAATAGGATAACTTGGTTGATTAATGTTTCTTTGTTTTTTTATCCCTCATTTTTCCACAAGCGGTGCTTAACTATGCCTTAATTAGCCTAGGATAAGATGAAATATGAATCTAAATTGAAGAGGGACCAAACAAAAATATTTATCTGAAATTTAGAACTAAATTAAAATGATATCCAAGCAGAAGATACTGCTTTGTGGTGGCACGAGCATCTCCTTCGAGCTTCGATGATAGCCTCTTGATGTCGTTGAAACTGCCTCTTCAAGTGCTCCATTGTAAGGCAGCTTGTGTCGACAACAAAATTTCAAAGACTGATTCTTCTCTCTTTGCTCTTTCGTCCCCTTGGTTTGCACGCACCAACTGGAAAAAATTAAAAAGGAAAAGGAAGACCATTATGGTCCAGTGTTTTGTGTGTGGAAGCATGACAAAAATGCCATCAGTTTTAGTTTATTTTGTAAGGTGTCAACTTCTTTTTTAAAACAAAATGCTACAACTTACTAAAATCATTTGTAAACTAGCTTGGTTATAATATTTTTTTTTTAAAAAAAACAAACAACACCATTTGGCTGTGTTACTAAAAATAGAGCAATCAATCAAAATTTAATAGGTTGTGCTATTCACCATATTAGATTTATGAAGTTTCACATGTTATGATACTAGAAATAGTAACATACTATATAGGCAACTCGTGATATACTGTGGGCTGGGTAAAATTTTTCTAAAAATAATATATATATATAGATAGATAGATAGATGGATGATAATAACTCAAGTAAAGTTAGATTAACTTGACTAATCAATGAGTCAAGATAATAAATTGAGATAACTTCATATAAAAAAAAATTTAAGATCTAATAATTTAATGTCGAAAGATAAAATTAAAAATAAATTAAAAATAAATGTTAAAGAAAAAAATCTAAGTTAACATAAGCTCACTCGTCAATCTGTTACCCAAGTTAAATCAATAAAAAAATAATATTTTTTATAAAAAAATTAAGACCTATATATATATAAAAAAAAAAACCAAAGTTAAATCCATAGAAAAAACAATGAGAAAAAACTTGAAAAAACTTTACTAACCCATGATCTGGGCCAACCTCACAAAAAAAAAACATATAAAAATTCAAAAATATTAAGTTTCAATAATCTAATATCAAATAATAAAATTAAAAAAAAATCAATTTAAAAAAATATTAAAAAACATGAGTCAACTTGAATAACCTGTAACTTGTGATATGAGATAAAGATAAAAAAATAAATTAAAAAAATATTTAGAATAAAAGACTAAAATAAACTAAAAAAAATGTTAAAAAAAAAACCCTGAGTTAATTTAACTAACATGCAATCTTAGATGACCCTATAGAAAAGAAAACAGACAAAATACAAAGTTCAAGGCCCAATATGTAATTTCAATGATATAAATGAAAAAAGATCATTTTAAAAAACACAAAAATAAAATAAAATCAAAGACCCATTATATGATATTAGGATAAATAAAAAAAACATTGAAAAACAAAATTGGAATCAATTAAAGTTAATTTAGCAAATTTGCAATCTAGAATATGAGACCGAGATGAACTCACTTAAAGACAAGTGAATAAAAAAACCATAAACTTCAAGGTCCAATAACCTATAGTTGAAGGATGATACTAAAAAAATACTAATTTTTTAAAGAGGTATAAGAAATACTAAAGTTAAATCATACTAATTCTTGAAACCAGTTATCTATTCATTAGATTGAAATCACCCTATAAAAAGTAAATAGCAAAAAATCACTAAGCAAAACCCTTAATTATCTAAAATTTATATATTAAAAAAATAAATAGTAATCAAAACAATGAGGATCAAATCTGGTATAAAATCTAAATGAAAGAAAATAATAAGGGATTAAATTAAAAATTAAAATAAATTAAGAAAAAAATAAAAAAATAGCAATAAAAAGAGTGAGGACCATAATTGGACACAAAAATTAAATAAAACAAAATTATGAGGATGGATTTTAAAAAAAAACAATAAAAAAATAAGGATCAAATTTATTAAAAAATTAAATGTTTAAGGATGAAATTAAAAAATAAATAAAGTATAAAAGACATAAAAGCAAAATAAATAACAATTAAAATAATAAAAATCAAAATTAATTGAAACAAAAATTAAAAGATACCATTAATTTTTGAAAGAGCTAAAATAAATTTTTAAACTAAAATAAAATAAAAAAAAGATTCAATAGAGCTCAACTTCACCTTTGTTGTGAAGACACTCTCAACCACTATGAAAAGGATGAACCATTGCTTCTAATATCTTCAATTATAGCAACATTAGATCACTTGAAGGCACCGTATATATCATTAAAAAAAAATCTAAGTGTTATTTTTAATTATTTTTATATATAGTCAAAGATTTAATTTCGCTTGTCTAAATACATGATTACAAAATAATTGTGTTGAAAAGACTTAAGTGCCCCCAAATATAAGTTTTATTATTTTTTATTTTAAGGGCAATACAGTCCTTTTATTTTGCATTGAAATTACAAAAGACCCTCCTCTCCAATTTTAAATTTTCTTATTTTTAATAATATTTAAGACATCACACTATTCATCTAAAATGTAAAAAAAAGTTACTAAAGCTTATGAATTTTGTAAAAAAAACCTTTCCATCCCTGGGATCAAATTAAACAAGTTTTTTATTAAGAATAAAATATTAGTTTTACCATGCGAATCTCCAATATAATATAATATAATATGAGTGTATGGACGCTATTTTCACTGAGCTTTTTTAATTTTTCTTATATCTAATAAATAAATTTTTTTTGAAGAATATGAAATTCAAAGGTTATGCCCTTTCAGTGAAGCATCACTTGAGGTGTGCTAGTTTTTTTTTTTTTTTTTCCCCTCTTCCAAATATGCTATTTTAGAAGAAGAAAAGGAAGAAGAAGAAGAAAAACCCTCCCAATTCATTATCATCCCTCCCAGCAAATAGCAACGACTAAGTATGCCATGTCAATAAAAGCTGGAAGATAATAGCATACTTGGCAATCTAATCTAACCTTCTTGCTCTTTTCTCATGCCTTGAATTCTCCTAATATTTATCTTCATCTCTCTCACCAGTTGTTGGAAGGCTAATCACGGGTTTACCTGGTCCAAGCCTGGAAGGTGACTCGCCAGTTTCTTGCCGTCGACGCCAACAATCAAACATTAATGGTGGTTTATCCTCATGATTTATCCAAACAATGCCGTGGTCTGGGTCCAGAATATTTGGTATTTTATTTCTTGAGAATATATTGGTGTGGTTGGTCAACCAACTTTTTTTTGAGCATATCACAAATAAAAATCCAAACAATGCCGTGGTCTGGGTCCAGAGTATTTGGTATTTTATTTCTTGAGAGTATATTGGTGTGGTTGGTCCACCAACTTTTTTTTGAGCATATGACAAATAAACTAATTTAAATAATTAGGCCCTTTTGAAGTGGATCCATTTTATAAATATAAAAAAGCTTGATTTGTGATGCACAAGGGCCAGCTTTTTGAGTAAATTATAAGTTAGTCCCTATATGTTTGATGATCTTGTAAGTTAGTTCCTCTGTTTCTGAAAAGTATATGCGAGTCCCTTGACAAAAATTGATTTCTATTTCTTATTTAATTTCTATATTAATTTTTTTAAATGCATTTTTAATTTTATCTGGTAAGATTGAGAAATTTGACTGCAAACTAAGAAAGACAAAAGAATAAGTTAATTGTGATGAAAACTCAACAGAAGGACCAAGTTACAATCAAATATGAAGAAATAGGGACTTAACTACAAGTTTTTAAACCAAAGGGATTAACTAATCATTGCATTACAAATACAGGGATCAAATAAAAGTAAATTACTTGAAAAAAAAAAACAATTTTATACTGTTCGCAACCTGTTACTATAGGAGTTTTGAGCCATTCTGGAAAAAGATTCCCTCTTCATCTTGTCTAATTTCTGACTTTTTCCCATAACAAGAACAGAAGTTTCAACTTCTCTGATTCCTTCTATATTAGAGTTTTTTCTACATGAAACTAGACAACCCTGCACATATATATAGAAGCACAAACTTGTATACAAAGGCATCTAGTTTTTTAACTTTGGATGCAGCATATGAATTGCATTATCTAGCATGGGAATTTCTTCACTTTGTAAAGCTTTAATTCTCTTAGAGCTGATCTTGCTACCTCTCTTTGCATCATTTGATACAAAAACTCTGCATGAAAGTTCAGATTCTTCTTCATTTCCTGCCAACTTTCTCTTTGGGACTGCCTCCTCTTCTTATCAGGTTTTTCTCTTCTACCAACTTCCTGTTTCTCTTGCATAAGCTTAACGATTTCCTTTGTCTCGCACTTTGTAGTTTGAAGGAGCTTACCTGAGTGATGGAAAAGGTTTGAGCAACTGGGATGTCCATTCTCATAAACCAGGTAAGAACTTAGCAAAGATTCAATGAAGATTTAAACGTTAAGAATTAATATTACCACTTTGAGCAGCATTTAAACCTCTCAGGTTCTTGTTGTAGGAAACATAATTGATGGAAGCAATGGAGATATCGCCGTCGACCAATATCATCGGTATCGGGTACTGGCATGATTTTTATCACCCTTGTCTTTTTTTCATCTGTCTGTAAACATGCTGCATTTTTCAGAATAACTACTGTAATTAGGCCTAATAATGTAGTTGATAGTGATATACAAATATATAAATAAAAGAATAGATATCTTACCAAATTTTATCTCACATAAGAAATCATTAGTCGTATCTCTGTGGATTTATCAGTCATCCATGAGAGTTTTTTAACAGGTATTGGTTAGGTTAATAGATCCCACCACTAAATGCCAGAAGTAACTAAAAATATTGATTACAGTTTGGTGGATGATTAGTCATTAACCTTCAAAAGACTCAAAGGGAATTGCTGGAAGTAAAATATAAATATTGACTAAGCCCTATATTCCATTATAATATTCTGGGCTAGATATGCATATGCTGCCAAATAGGATGAATAATTTATAAGTGCTACTGCTCAGGTTTCAACAGCGATGCAGCAACTCATTGAATTTTTGCTTTCTGATTATTATAAAACAAGATTATATATCAGATTCTGAAAATCAAGATTCTGGCTAAAGATTTGTATGTTGACAGGAAGACATTGATCTAATGGCCTCCCTCGGAGTCAACAGCTATAGGTTTTCGATGTCATGGGCACGAATTCTACCCAGTAAGAATTTATGAACTAGCAAAATTTTCAATAAGGATTTATATAATCAAGACATAAAGCTCATAAAAACCTCATTGAATATGAAAACAGAAGGGAGATTTGGAGGTGTCAATATGGCTGGTATTAGCTACTATAACAAGCTGATCAATGCTCTCCTACTTAAAGGTTTGCTTTCCCCAAATAATTTCACTGCCTATATTCTGAATGCAGCAGTCTACTCTGTATACACCACCGTAAATAGCTTCATCACTATCAAATTCTATGCTAAGCGTTTGTTTTTGCAATCTTCATATGTCCAGGGATTCAACCATTTGTGTCATTGACTCATTTTGATGTGCCCCAAGAGCTTGAGGATAGATATGGGGGTTTTCTAAGTCCTAAATCCCAGTAAGTAACTTTCTCTCTTGTAATGCTGAGTCCAGAGTTTTAAGAGCTAGACCATGCTGACCAGCCATTAACTAGACATGACAGGTTATTAATCTTCTTTTTGAATTTTCTGAACCAGAGAGGATTTCAGATACTATGCAGACATCTGTTTCAAGTACTTCGGAGACCGAGTGAAGTACTGGGCCACCTTCAATGAACCAAATTTTCAAGCCATTTATGGTTATCGTGCAGGTGAATACCCACCAAAACGCTGCTCAAAGCCTTTCGGAAATTGCAGTCATGGGGACTCAGAGACGGAGCCCTTTATTGCGGCGCATAACATAATCTTAGCTCATGCAAGTGCAGTTGATATTTACAGAACCAAATACCAGGTATCAACAATGAAATGGATACAAGAAAGCATATACTAAGGGCTAGTAAACGTAAGACTAACTCCATTTGTAAATATTCAGAGAGAGCAAAGAGGCAGCATTGGTATTGTCATGCATTGCATGTGGTATGAACCTATTAGCAATTCAACAGCAAACAAGTTAGCAGTTGAAAGAGCTCAAGCCTTCCTCTTGCGCTGGTTAATTTCTTTATCCTACAATGAATTGGCATATTTTCTACTTCTTCAATACATGCAAGCACGTGTATATATAAATCCATTAGTATATGTCAGCTTGTGAATCTCAAGTATAATGCAGGTTCTTGGACCCAATCATATTTGGAAGATATCCTGAAGAAATGAAAAAAGTTCTGGGATCTACTCTACCTGAATTTTCAAGAAATGACATGAATAAATTGAGGAAGGGACTGGATTTTATCGGCATGAATCATTACACCAGTTACTACGTTCAAGATTGCATCTTGTCTGTGTGTGAACCTGGAAAAGGAAGCACGAGGACAGAAGGTTCCTCTCTATTAACTCAAGAAAAAGATGGAGTTCCCATCGGCAAACCTGTATGTACCCTCTCAAGTCTCAAGCTATGAGTCTCATTAGAATTAGTTCATTTCTCAAAAAGTTTTTGAAGTTTTTGTGTCATTCTAGAGTGAAGTGGATTGGCTACATGTTTATCCACAAGGAATGGAAAAGATGGTTACCTATGTAAAGGAGAGATACCATAACATACCCATGATCATCACAGAAAATGGTAAGTACAACATTTAGATTATTAGAAATTCTTTAAGCAGAAGAATTTATACTGTCTTTCTCATACAATTGCAATGACTCCTGTAGGGTATTCTCAAGTGAGCAATTCAAACCGAAACATTGAAGAATTCCTTCATGATACAGGAAGGGTGGAATACATGTCTGGCTATTTGGATGCCTTGCTGACAGCAATGAAGTAAGTTTATACCACAGTCGCCATTTTCATGAAACTACATCCCCTTTAAGAGCTGGTTCAGATTTTTTTTTAGCACTCAAGGGAACTGAAAATATTTAAGGATGGCGTTTTCTTTTCTACTCAAACCCTATACTTTTCCATGTGATCAGGAAAGGAGCGGATGTGAGGGGCTATTTTGCCTGGTCCTTCCTTGATAATTTTGAGTGGACATTCGGTTATACAAGAAGATTTGGACTTTACCATGTTGATTACACCACAATGAAGCGAACTCCAAGATTATCAGCAACTTGGTACAAAGAATTTATTGCAAGGTATAAGGTAGACAAATCCCAGATGTGAGAAGCGAAGAATGTACTCCAGAAGAAAACAGAGTAGTGTACTTTCTGCTAAATTGTGCATTTAATAATATTCAAGCATACTTAAACCAAGCAGCTCCTTATTTTTGAAATCAAGGTCAACTTGAGTTTAACACAATGAATGAACTCATTAAGGAACAAATGGAGGATTGATAATGGTGAGACACATTGAGCCAAAACAAATTGATCTACATCCAACTAGTAACACTGACTGTATCTGTTGCCAGAAATGAAATAAGTGGAAAGGGTATAAAAGTTCAAGGATATCACACCATATAACACGGCAAATTCCAATCTTCTCTTCATAATTCCATTTGATTTTCTTTAAAACATATTATAACCCCCACAAATTTTATAAATATTTGGTAGTTCTTTGAACCAAAAATTATATAACTTAAATATTTCTCAATAATATAAACTCAGCTTTAAATTTAAAAGAAAAATCAAAGAATAAAAAGAAATGAAAATACTAAAAATAAGATGTGAAAGACTGTGGAAAAATCTGAAAAATAAAAGTTAAAAACTCTTAATTGTTTTTTATAGTGAATTTTAAAAGCTAAAAGATTAAAAAATTAATTCTTACTATTATCAATAGTAGTCACCATAAATTAAAAATTAAATATAAAAAACCTAAAAGTCTTTGAGTGGATTTAAACATCAGCTCAGAGAAAAATGATGTTCAAGGTGATTGATTTAATCTCATAAAAGAATCTCTGTGACCTGGAAACAGTAGATTCAGCACGTCAAGCTTTTTGGATCCCTTTTCTGACGTAGATGGGATAATTTCATATTTTGAAGTTTGTTTAAGAGACTAGAATTCTGTCATATCAACTCAAATAATAATGGTAATGTCTTCTAAAAAATTGAAGGTAGTGCTGCTACAGTTATACAGGAGTGTTTCAGAATAATTCCGAAACGTGAGATGAGATATTACATCATTGCTTTCGGTTATTGTAAATTAAATCCAATCTATAAAGCTAAAATCGCCTGAAAAATGATAAGCACCGGATCTGTGCTTTAAACTGTCTGCCATATAGCTTGGACATTGACCATTCAGGCAAGAACTCCCTCAGGAGAATTACCCTTTTTTTTTCTATTTCTTTGTTGCTCGTATAGATTTGTTTACCTTTCTTTTGTCCATATATACAACTAGAATTCTTCAACACCTTCTCCAATAATTCCTATATAATTAACTGACTCCCCAAGAGCAAGTACACAATCCTGCAGATATATAGACTGCACACATGTATTTAAAGAAGGCTAACAAAGGAAGAGGATTACATATCATGGGAACTCCTAGACTGTTTAAGTTTCCATTTCTATTAGAGCTGATCTTCCTACCTCTCTTTGTATCATCTCATCCAAAAGCTTTGAAAGACAGCTTAGATCCTTCTTCATTGCCTCCCAACTTTCTCTTCGGCACAGCCTCCTCTTCTTATCAGGTTGGTAACTTCTAATACTACTCCCCTTCACCTCCATTTCATTCGAAAATTTGAATCCATTTTGTCCATGATCAGAAAATTACAGCATAGTGCTCTGAATACTGCTACTAAACATAGGCATAAATTATTTTGTTCTTTATCTTTGTAGTTTGAAGGAGCTTATCTCAGTGATGGTAAGGGTTTGAGCAACTGGGATATATTTACACACACATCAGGTGAGGATTCTCCTCCTTTATATATATATATATATATATATATATATATATATATATATTCATGGCACTACGAGTGTCAGCCTTGCATCCATGGAATCAATACAGAGGTGGGAGATTATTTTTTTTCTAGTATACATATTATTAATGGATATATTATATGTATCGGACTGAAATATTGCTAAAACAATTCTAGATATCTTGTTTTTCTTAAGAGTTGAAATTTGAGATGAAGGCTTGTATTTTTAAATAAAAAACTAATATTCCTTAATGATCTTTTTCCAGAATAATGATGTGTTTTCATGTTTGTTATGTTTCTTGTATTTCTTCCATTTTCATTGATGATTTACTTACTGTGCGTGATATAACAATTTCTTAAAAGAGAGAATCGCTTCAATCTGTTTGCAATTTAGATGAATTGATCAAGGGCTGAAAACAAGATTCAAGATTCATGTTAAAAAGATTTGAAACATGTTTACTATTCTCATCATGTTGCAGGAAAAATAATTGATGGAAGCAACGGAGATATTGCTGTGGACCAATACCATCGCTTTCTGGTACAAACACATCATTATTATCATATCTTTTAGTTATTTCAAGCAACAGTATGGAGTTCATGTCGCTATTTTTAAAATCTAATCTTAGGTTGATACCTTACTTACTTTTTAAACTTACCAATTCATCCATGTACTCTTCTAGTGTCTTTGATTGAGTCCCTCTGTTGTTTTTTATTTGATTGGGTTCTTGTATGCCATGCAATGTCTACATCACAAGAATATCGATGAAATCTTCACTCCAAAGATTTGTGAATGATGTTAACAGGAAGATATTGATTTGATGGAAACACTTGGAGTCAACAGCTATAGGTTCTCAATTTCTTGGGCACGAATTCTACCTAGTAAGAATTTTAAGAACTCAGGATGTTTTCAACAGGAACGTCTGACATTAATAAAACATAAAGCTGATATGGAAGTTCTTTCAATATGGATTCAGAAGGGAGATTTGGAGATATTAATAGGTCTGGCATTAGCTACTATAACAAGCTCATCAATGCTCTCTTGCTTAAGGGTATCCTTTCTTCTGATAATCTTTTTGTTGATTTATATAACCTACAAACTGCTCAAACTTGCCATCAAAATATCTGCATCATTTTCCAGTTTTATGTAAATCATTTGTTCCTCAATATTCTTTCAGGAATTCAGCCATTTGTGACGCTAACTCATTATGATATGCCTCAAGAATTGGAGGAGAGATATGGGGGGTGGCTAAGCCCTAAATGCCAGTATGTAACCTACTCCCTTTACATGTCTAAATAGTCTGCAGTCCTATGAACTAGATATCTTCCTTCTGCTTTATCAATCAGGGAGGATTTCGGATATTATGTAGACATGTGTTTCAAGTACTTTGGAGATCGAGTGAACTACTGGGTCACCTTCAATGAGCCAAATCTACAAGTCATAAATGGCTATCGCACCGGCGAAAGCCCACCCAGTCGCTGCTCCAGTCCTTTTGGGAATTGCACTCATGGGGATTCAGAGAAGGAAACCTTTCTTGCAGCACATAACATAATCTTAGCACATGCAAATGCAGTTCATATTTATAGAACAAAATACCAGGTATTGAAAATAATAACATTTTCTTAGAAATGAGGAAGCTTACTACTTACCTGTTAATGGAATTTTCAGAAACAGCAAGGAGGCAGCATTGGGATCGTCATCCATTGCGCTTGGTTTGAACCTTACAGTAATTCCACAGCGGACAATTTAGCCACTGATAGAGCTCAAGACTTCTTCATGAACTGGTTAACTTCTTTACTTTCCAACATCTCTAAACAAATTTACATGATTCGACATATGCAAATTCATTTGGCACATGACACTTTGCAAATCTTAAGTATAATGCAGGTTCTTGGATCCAATCATCTTTGGAAAATATCCTGCAGAAATGACGAAAATTCTGGGGTCTGCTTTACCAAAATTTTCAAGCAATGACAGAGAGAGACTGAAAAAGGGACTGGATTTCATTGGGATCAATCATTACACTGGTTTCTACATCCAAGATTGCAGCTTTGTTGTGTGTAAACCTGGACAAGGAGGCTCCAGGACTGAAGGTTTAGCCCAACAAGTCCAAGAAAAGGACGGAGTTCCTATTGGCAAATCTGTATGTGCACCCTCTCATGATACTATGTTCTTCAGAAACTATTTCTTTCCACACATGAAGTTGTTTTAAGGATTTTGGTTAATGTAGAGTGAAGTGGACTGGATACATGTTTATCCACAAGGAATGGAGAAGATGATAACATATCTAAAGGAGAGATACAATAACACACCTATGATCGTTACAGAGAATGGTAAACATATATAGAAACTAGAAATCTTTTCAGCAGATAATTTTTTAATGTTTTTCTCACAAAATTTCTGAGTCCTGTAGGATTTGGCCAAGAGAGCTACCTAAACCGCACCATTGAAGAATATCTCCAAGATAGAGAAAGGGTGGAATACATGTCTGGCTATTTGGATTCCTTGATGACAGCTATGCTGTATGTTCTTATTACTGTTTTCATTTTCTGAAACTTCAACCCCTTAAAGATCTGGTTCAGAGTGTCTAGAACACAAGCAAATCCACAAGGTTTGAAATTTTATTTTCCTCTAACTTGCTTTACTTTCCATGTGATCAGGAAAGGAGCAGATGTGAGGGGCTATTTTGCGTGGTCCTTGCTTGATAATTTCGAGTGGGGACATGGTTATACAAGAAGATTTGGACTTCACCATGTTGATTACACCACACTGAAGAGAATTCCAAGACTATCAGCAACTTGGTTCAAGGAATTTATAGCAAGGTATAAAGTAGACAAATCCCAGATGTGAGGACTTATAAGGACTATTCGTCATAAAACATAGAACTGTACTTTCCACTAGTGATACCCCCCCACATAGCTCCATGGGCGAAGAAAACAGAGAACATATAATACTATGTAGTGGATTGTTAAATCATGCAGGTTTGAAGTTTTGGATCAAGGGCAATGTCTTTCATCATTCTTGGGCTACGAATTGAGAAAGATTCTTAGTTGACATAATTTATATGCAGGATAAATTGCTTATGAACTAAATTACTTGGTTGTTTTCAGCAGTCCAAAAGAATTTGATGAAGTCAAATTTAAGCAATTAAATGAACCCTTAAATTGAACTATAAAGCATAGTTATAAAACCTGGTCTGGCATGGCTGGAGTCTGGTACAAGCAGGGATTTTTTCGAAGCAGATTATTTTTATTTTTTTTTACCAAAGAGATGTTGTTTGCCTTTAATTTACAGCTTCGAGAGAACGACTCGGTTTCTAAAGCATGTTTGGATTCTTACAGATAACATCTCATTCCTGCAGATTAAATCCCTTTTATTGATCAGCAAACAGTAATGTTCGATTAGAGGAGTTAAATCCTCCAGTTGAAGCCACAAGGCATTCCCACAAGGGAGATCCTACCTCGTAAATATGCTTGCCATCATGTGAAATCTGGAATGGCTGTAGATCATTAGCAACATTTGGCTCTGAGTTGACTGCAAACCAAATGCACGAAGCCGTCTATCAATGCAATCGGTTAATTGCCAGTACAAAAAATACTAACCAGGATTCTGAAATTCCAGATCCCCCCCTAGCAGCTACCGTTTTGTTTTTCTTCGGTCAGAAAATCTTAATCTGAGTAGCATACTGAAAAGCTAGCAAGAAGTTTTTAAATCAAATTGAAAACACCTGAATCCCTGCATTCCTATCCTAATGTTCAGGACAGGATGCAGTGCAACAGCAGCAAGACAGTAACATAGTAGCTATCCACGCCTCTTGTTCTTTTCACATGTCTTGAAATATGTCATATATTTATATTCAAAATTCTATTATTAGATGTCAGAGACTAACCATTTCGTGCCGCACACGGAGGTTTAATCGGTCCATGGAGTGTTTGGCATTGAGTTTCAGCCTACTTTTCGTCAAAATTTATTTTTTTTTAATTTATTTGTTAATATTTTTGAATCATTTTATTGTACTAATATCAAAAATAAATTATTAAAAGTAATAATTTAAAAACCAACTGCTACTATACTTCTAAATATCCCGTAAAAGGTGCTGATATTATTAAAAAGTAATCACCTGATAACAACAATTCCACTATAATAGAAGTGTGTTTTACAATGATCCATAGGCTGCACTAAAATAATGCTGAGGGTCCAGTGTGTGATCATTTCTAGTGGAGCTATCTGTAAATCTAAAAGGGCCAGGGATGTGATTTTCTCATACAGTTTTTGTGTTCCCTTCTTTTTTTCACACAAGTTAAAATTTCCGACACCTTCTCTAAACTCTCATATCCAGTATACAATTACTTAATTTCTCAAAAGCATATGCAGAGAGCTTCTTAACTTTTATGAGAGACCAAAGGAAGGGCATTACTCATCATGGAGCTTCCTTCAAATTTTCAAGTTTTTCACGTTATGTTTCTTTTAGTCCTTATCTTCGTTCGTCACTGTGTATCATCACATCCAGAAACTTTGCAAGAGAGTTTAGATCATTTTTCATTGCCAGACAACTTTCTCTTCGGCATGGCCTCCTCTTCTTATCAGGTTTGTCACTTCCACTGCTCTCCTTGACTTCCATCTAACTCAAGAACTTAAATGTTTTCTCCTGAAAGTCTATGATAAAAGTATTATCGCATAGTCAATTAAACACTGAGAATCTTTTCTTTTTTTTTCCACTCTTGTACTGTGTAGTTTGAGGGCTCTTATCTTAGTGATGGTAAAGGTTTGAGCAACTGGGATATACATACCCACACACCAGGTTAGGAACTCTTTTCTCTTTTATATCGAAGAGTCTAAAAAGTGTCAATTTTTCACACTCAAGATAACAAAGTCATGATGAGGCTTACTGTGATCTACTACTATCTATCTATTCATATATTTCAGAAAAAGAAGAAACCAGAATTTTCGAGCAAGCAAGATTTAGACCATCCTATTTTTCTGGCTCTTTACTTCTTCATGTTTCCTGTTGCAGGAAAAATAATTGATGGAAGCAATGGAGATATAGCTGCGGACCAATACCATCTCTATCCGGTAAACAGATATGACCTTTATCTTACCTTTTGTTGCCTGAATCCACAGCATGGGTAGCTGTTCGGAATACTTTCTGTACTTAGGCCCCATAACAGAAGCTTGACAGAGAAAAATAATGAAACAATATCTTCCTTCCTTGAAGAAGTTAGTTTATACTTTTACAATGATCTAGACATAGTCATATTAGGTAGAAGGCAACTTGTTTATTAAATTAATCACCTCATGTAAGCAAATAATAAGCCTTCTATACGATGATTAGTATCGATCCCTGAAAGAATTTTAAAAGGGGTGGTGGGGTTGTGGCGGTTAAAATATTCTATAAAAAAGATATGCTTATCTTCATAAATTGCTAAACTACGCTTCTCTGGTAATGCAACAGCATCTCCCTTAATTTTTTTTTAATGATGGGACAAGCTCATCCACTAAATATTTGCTAAATGATGTTAACAGGAAGACACCGATTTAATGGACTCCCTTGGAGTCAGCAGTTATAGGTTCTCGATTTCATGGGCACGAATTCTACCCAGTAAGAACTTTAAGAATTCAGAATATTATCAGCAGGACTTGACATAACTAAAACATAAAGCTTATATGTAACTTCATTCAATTGAGAACAGGAGGGAGATTCGGAGATATCAACAAGGTTGGTATTAGCTACTATAACAAGCTCATCGATTCTCTCCTGCTTAAAGGTTCAGCTTCTGTAACCAATGAACCTGTAATCATTTTTACTGCCTAAGAAATTCCATCAGAAACTGGAAAATGTGTTCATTTTCAATATTTTATTCGGTGCACTTGTTTTTCTCAAATTGCTTCAGGAATCCAACCATTTGTGACATTAGTTCATTATGATATACCTGAAGAACTGGAGGAGAGATATGGTGGATGGCTAAGTCCTAGATGCCAGTAAGTACATGTCCATGGAGTTTGCAGTACTATAAACTAGAAAGCATTAACGAAATATAAATCCAGGCTATGAGAATTAGCTGATTCCTTTCTTTCATTTCCTCAATCAGGGAGGATTTTGGATATTATGCAGATATTTGTTTCAAGAATTTCGGAGATCGAGTGAAGTACTGGACCACCTTCAATGAGCCAAATATACAAACTATTAAATCCTATCGATCAGGTGAATACCCACCATGTCGCTGCTCCAGCCCTTTCGGAAATTGCACTCATGGGGATTCAGAGAAGGAGCCCTTTATTGCCGCACATAATATGATTTTAGCACATGCAACAGCAGTTGATGTTTACCGAACTAAATACCAGGTATTAACAATAAAACAATTTCTTGGATAACATTTGTGAGACAACTACAAAAAATATAAGGAAAGCAGACGCTCAGGACAGATAAGCTTACTACTACTTCCTGTTTAATTATTCAGAAAGAGCAAGGAGGCAGCATTGGAATTGTCTTAGATTGCATTTGGTTTGAACAAATAAGCAACTCCACAGCAGACAAGTTAGCCGCTGACAGAGCTCAAGACTTCTTCCTGAACTGGTTGGTTTCTTTAATGCCCATTTTAATGTTTGTAAATCCATTTAGCATATGAAACCTGTTGAATCTCAAGTATAATGCAGGTTCTTGGACCCCATCATATTTGGAAATTATCCCGCAGAAATGTCTAAAATTCTAGGGTCTACTTTACCGAAATTTTCAAGTAATGACAAAGAGAAACTGAAGAACGGACTGGATTTCATTGGCATCAATCATTACACCAGTGAATACGTCCAGGACTGCATCTTCTCCGTTTGTGAACCCGGAACAGGAGCCTCCAGGACCGAAGGGCTTGCCCGGAGAAGCCAAGAAAAAGATGGAGCTCCCATCGGCATACCTGTACGTATCCTCTCAAGTTAACCCAATCATGAGAATTAATGTTTCCTTCTCAGGAATTTGGTAATGGTTTTTGGTCTATGTAGACTGATGTGGACTGGCTGCATTTTTATCCACAAGGAATGGAGAAGATGGTTACCTATATAAAGAAGAGATACAATAACAAACCAATGATCATTACTGAGAATGGTATGTATGAATTGAGTTCCTTAAAGCAGACAAACTTTTTAATGTCTTCCTCATACAAGTGCAAAGTGTTTTGTAGGGTATGGCCAGCTGAACAATCCAAACCTCACTATTGTTTGTCATGATATAGAAAGGGTGGAGTTTATGTCTAGCTACTGGGATTCCTTGTTGTCAGCAATGGAGTAAGTTCATATTGTGTTTGCATTTTACCTTTTATACATCATATAGACTCAACTCGCTATTACCATGGTCATTTTCCATAAACTGCATCCCTTTTCAGAGCTAATTCAGAGTTTTACAAACAAAATACAACTGAAAGCTTACGCCCTTTCATTTTACTTTTAATCAGGAAAGGAGCAGATGTGAGGGGCTATTTTTCCTGGTCGTTGCTTGATAATTTTGAGTGGACATATGGTTATACACAAAGATACGGACTTTACCACGTTGATTTCACTACACTGAAGAGAACTCCAAAATTATCAGCTACTTGGTTCAAGGAATTTATAGCAAGGTATAAGGTAGACAAATCACAAATGTGAGCTGTGATGAGGACTGCTCCCCCATGAACACAGAAGTTCACTTTCCTAAGGACATCCCCTCTGTGTAGCTCAATTGGCAAAGGAAATCCAGCACATGTTACTAATATGTGTTGACCAAGAATGATCCATAAGCAAAATAAAATCTTGGCAAAATGTGAGTTTATTTAAAGTATGTTATTATTCTAATGGCTATCTTTTATGTAACAGAAATTCAGATATGCTTGGAAAATATCTTGCAATTCTGTTTTTTCTTATTGTATAATAAACGTATTGAAATTCAATAAAGGTTATGTTCAGCATCTATAATAAGAAAGTTTTGTTTTCTCTTCAATATAAACAACAAATTGATATCAAAGTTAATTTTTTGAGGGACTCATAAGATTGAGAGATTCTAAACATAACCTTCAAAAACTTGTAAGATTGAGAGAGTCTAAACATAACCTTCAAATATTTATCATCTAAACACAACACATCCAATATGAATTCAGAAATGCCATTTACTACAGTTGCATCTCCAGTATTTGATGAGATCAATTATCAAGTATATGAAGTGTCAATCTTGTCAAATAATCCAACTATCGCACAAATAAAAAAATCACAGAGAGAAGAAGCAAAGAATATCAAAAGCAAAAGCAATTTTGTTTGCAATAGTTTCACTATCATTTTTTTTACAAAATAATGACTCTGAAAACAACAAAGAAAATCTGGGATTTTCTGAAAGGAGAACATGAAGGAAATGAGAGAATCAAAGGGATACAGGTGTTGAACTGAATCCGAGAATTTGAGTTACAAAAGATGAAAGAATCAGAAACAATCAAGGAATATTCTAACAAACTTCTTAGTATTGTTAACAATATAAAACTCCTTGGCACTGATTTTTCTAATTCTAGAATTGTTCAAAAAATTCTAGCAA